AGACAGTAATCCAGTAGTGGTCTAACCAAAGTTCCATACAGCTTCAACATAACTTCCCTGCTCTTATAATCTATGCCACGACTAATAAAGGCAAGCATCCTGTATGCCTCTTTACCTATTAACCTGTCCTGTAACCTTCTGGGATCTATGGACAAGCACTGCAACATCTCTCAGTTCCTGTGAACTTCTTAGTGTCCTGCCATTCATTAAATACTCCCTTCTCTTGTTACTGCTTCCAAAGTGTGTCCCCTCACATTTACCAGGGTTAAATTCCATCTGTCACTGAATTGACAAGCGGTACAAGGCTTCAGCACTGACCCTAAGCCACATTCATCGCTCACATCCATTCCCCCCTCGCCAGCGGCTGGTTCGATGGGTGGACCATATTGTGCAGCATGGAGGGAGCCACCTTCATCCGTTTGGCTTGGATCAGCCCTGGTACCAGCAGTACCTCCTCGATGTCATTCTGTTTTCCCCCTGGCCATTGTTTCTATGACAGTTTACATTGTAACCAAGTTGCTGAAGTTTGCAATGGGCTGTCTGTGCAGTGGAGGGAAATTGAAAGCAGCTTAAAGTGGCTTGATCACTCTTAATGAACTCCATACCCTTTCCAGATTTTTGACCTAAATTTTAATTTCATTTTGATGGTATTTTATAGCGCACTGTTATCATTTAATGAAATAGTAATGAAACATGTTTAAATTTTATGTTACGGCTGATTGAAATGTGAATTCCTTACCTGGGAACACACAGTGAATTCTAACCCCTGGGCCTCTCTTACAAATCGGGGAGGGTTAGAATCATAGAATCTCTACAGTGTGGAAACAGGCCCTTCGGCCCAACAAGTCCACACTGAACCTCAGAGCATCCCACCCAGACCCACCCCCCTAATCTACACCTCCCTGAACACTACAGGCAATTTATCATGGCCAGTCCACGTAACCTGCACACCTTTGGACTGTGGGAGGAAACTGGAGCACCCGGAGGAAACCCACACAGACACAGGGAGAATGTGCAAACTCCACACAGACAGTCGCCTGAGGCTGGAAGTGAACCCGGGTCCCTGGCGCTGTGAGGCAGCAGTGTTAACCACTGTGCCACCGTGCCGCCCGTGAACAATTTGAAAATTTTCTAGGAAATGCATAAATTGACCACAGAAGCAAGTTATTTTACAAAATTAGTTGAATTGCCTATTTTACAAAATCAGGTCCAGAGGACAGGTTAGAGTAACTCAAGGTTACATTCAACCGAGTGTGGTGTCAAGGAGCCTTGGCAAAACTGGAATCAATGGCTATCAGGGGGCAAACGCTCCAGTGGTTGGAGTCAAACCTGGCACATAGGAAGATGGTCATGGTTGTTGGAGGTCAATCATCTCAGCTCCAGGACATATTAGGTTACAAAGGGACATTGATAGGATGCAGAGCTGGGTTGAGAAGTGGCAGATGGAGTTTAACCCTGAAAAGTGAGAGATGATTCATTTTGGAAGGACAAACTTGAAAGCAGAATACAGGGTTAACGGAAAGATTCTTGGCAGTGTGGAGGAGCAGAGGGATCTTGGGGTTCATGTTCACAGTTCCCTGAAAGCTGCCACCCAGGTGGATAGAGTTGTTAAGAAGGCATATGATGTGTGAGCTTTCATTAATAGAGGGATTGAGTTCAAGAGCCATGAAGTTATGGTCCAGCTATACAAAAGCCTGGTTCGGCCACATCTGGAGTATTGTGTCCAGTTACCTTTGCCTCATTACAGGAAAGATATGGAGGCATTGGAAAAGGCGCAGAGGAGATTTACCAGTATGTTGCCTGGAATGGAGGGAAGGTCTTACGAGGAAAGGTTGAGAGAGCTAGGGCTTTTGTCTTTAGAACGACGAAGGATGAGAGGTGACTTGATAGAGGTATACAAAATGATCAGAGGTATAGATAGAGTGGACAGCCAGAGACTTTTTCCTAGGGTGGAGGTAGCTATTACGAGGGGGCATAGTTTTAAAGTGAGTGGAGGTAGATATAGGGGAGATGTCAGAGGTAGGTTCTTTACTCCGAGAGTGGTAGGGGCGTGGAATGCATTGCCAGAGAGGGTAGTGGAATCGGCCTCATTAGGGGCATTTAAGCGGCTATTAGATAGGCATATGGATGATAGTATAAGGTAGGGTTGGAGGTTAGATAGACTTTAGGATTAGGGTAAAAGTTCGGCACAACATCATGGGCCGAAGGGCCTGTACTGTGCTGTACTGTTCTATGTTCTATGTTCTAATTATACCCTCCCGTAAAATCTTCTCCCTCGCTGTCAAGTTGGCAGATCTTTGTGTCATCTGCAAACTTACTATTTAATCCTGTCTCCCATCATTCTCATCTATATCATTTTGATATATAAAACAATAAGGGACCCAGCACTGATCCCTGTTGTATACCAGTGTACACCAGGTTCCAGTCACACAAACAGCCTTTTATCACCACACTCCATCTCCTGCCACTAAGCCAATTCTGGAATCAACATGCCAAGGTAATTTCATTTCAAGACTGAGTATTGCGCTTTCTATTGGACATTAAGTTTGCTTCTCCCATCACAGATGCTGCCAGACCTGCTTTCTTACTTTGATAATCATCTGGCATTCAGGATCAGGATACTGACTCTTCTCTACATCAGCATTCAATTTTTTTCTCATGTGAGTCTGTAACTAAACGTAGACACAATCACATCGTTTAGTCTGACTAGGGTATATAAAACATAATAATGACTTTGACTGTACTGCTCTGTTAAATTACTGCTGACGTTTCTGATCACATTGAAAGGCTGGAAGTTGGTTGTAGCCCATTCTCACATCCACCACGAATGACGTATACCAATAATTCCCTTTCATGGAGGCCTGCCAGCTGAACATTTCTCTTCCTATCTCAGTAATATTGTCACATGAGCTACCAATGCTTCTTGGACCACCACAAGGAATTCATGCATTTTACATTTTGAATATTTGGCTGGATACCTCAGCCTGAGATAATTCCACAAGATGGAATGCAGAGGAGGCATGTGTTAGAGCAGCAAAGTTGAAGGAGGACAATTGTGAGGACTGTGGAGTCTGGGAAGAACTACTGTTACTGGCAACACAGGCAACACAGCCATGTTTTTGTTTAAACTTTTGTTTTCTCTTTAATGTTAACTATTGCTTAGGGTTGAGCAGCTGCTGAAAAACTGAAGCAGAGACAGCCCCGTACCTTCTCCCTGAGTCCAAATCAATCCTGTAAGAAGGTCCAAAAGAGGTCCTACATATGTGCTTGTAAGGAAACCTGTTATATTTGGCAGCCCAGGATATCATCAAAGCTGCCTTTATCAATCTGGGTCGCACTTACACATTGAGTGCAAGACATTGCTCTCCAAAATTTGTTAATTCTTTTCCCCCATTTCTGTCAGAGAAATTAACATCAGGACTTAGCATCAGATGCTACCTTAAGGTTTTTCCATTTCCAAAGCAAGTTACTGCCCCTCCTGGGGTAAAGTTTATGTTTTAGATGCGATCAGGAAATTGTGCCTAAAATGCCTTTGAAATTAGTTTGCAATTCAATTTTCTGATAAAATTAATGTGCACTTTTACAAACATATTATCTCCTATGAGCCAACATAATTGGGCAAAGTAAGAGAGTATTAACATTTCTTTGCTTTTTAATGGATAGAAAAATATTGTGAAGTATTTAAGAGTGGCAGTCTGGAGTAATTTTATGGGCAGTGCTTGACTGAGGGGGCTGGGAGAAGGTGGTGAATTTAAGACTGGTTCAAACAATTGTGTTAGAATATCGGCATAGCACAACTAGTAATATGAAGAAACATTATCTGAAAAGAAAATATTGTGAATGCTGGGGAACCAAAATAAAAACATTGTGCTAGAGAAACACAGCAGACCTAGTAAAACCTGTGGAACTTCAAAGAAAAATTCTATTGGACTCATGACATTAAGTTTGCTTCTCCCATCACAGATGCTGCCAGACCTCCTGAGTTTCTGTAACACTTCCTGTTTTTTATTTAAGAAACTGCACCTCTTTGCTTTATTATTTCTGTTCCTTTATTTAATTGTGTCATAAGATTATAGTGACTTCACATTTTCTTTTTTATTCTTCTGTCTCCGCAGTCAGGTTTCAGATATTCTTATGGCATTTTCTTTGGAAAGTGCATGATTGCCTTTGTTTTGAACTGTACACTGTAAATTCCCGTTAGGTTGGTGATTAAGTTTATTGTATTCCAGTTAGCAGAGTCCCCATAACCATGGTACCTAACATTTAACGTAACCAATGTTGTCAGATAGATTAACAAGGCATCACCTGACTTGTATCAGATTTTAATATTTAACTTCTCATTGTAGCATGCTGTAATTTTCTTTTCAAAATATTTAATATACATTCCATTTTTGTTTGTAATCTTCACACACGCAGTAAACCCTTATACTTTTAGACGAATCTTCTAATTGTAATCTGTGTCAATTGAATTTCCTTTTTGTTTCTTTCCAAAGAAATATAAAAATATGTAATATGAACTAGACCTCTAATATTAAAATACGAAGTGTGTTCGAAATCCTATAGTGTAGTTTAAAGTGCGACTGAACACACAGACAGAAACACTGTAGATCTGCTCAATGCATCCTTTATAAATGAAAATATTTATGGACCAACGGTTTACAAGTAGAACATGGGTTAATGTAGAGTACATACTTTCTAAAGTATAAACCTGTTTTACACCACATGATCTTAAAAGGTTCTTGTGCAATACGCCACAAACAAGAACCAAAAGATCAATGAAATCAGTGTCAGTTATTGATTTTGTGCTCTGGGATAAATTGGTTGCTTTACTGCATAATGTCTGTTGGTGGAATCACAGGAACAAAAGCACAGTGGGTTGAAAGCTATCTCTGTAGTAGGTCTGTCCTTGGTAGGAGCTGTCTATTTGTCTGATGATAAATGGTTCCTGTTTTATGTTATGGGCTTTTCTGTGAAATGGCACTTTTTGTTTTATTTTTCAGGTGAAATCCACTGAAGATTGTGTTTGCAGTGGAGCTCTCCTATTCCTGTATGCTGGAGATTACTACTTGAATATAAAATTTCACGATGACAACTCAAATAGGGAACTACCCCTTTCTTGGTTCTGCTTGCCAAGTGTTCATGTGCGTGCCATGGACCCAATTCAACACGCAAAATTTTAAATTTATATGAAAGAAAATATTGTAAGATTTAGTGAGTTAGATCATTGTAAATATTGACTAACCAGTCATATCTGCCAACAAGATCTCACTGAATATTCTGGTTTAAGATTACACTGGCATTTGTCCAAAAAAAAAGCTTCTAGATTTTTCTGTAAAGCTTGCTTAGCCAAATTTTTACATATCCAAGGGATTGATAACTACTGTCAGTAAAATTAATCGTTAGTAATAAACCTGTATTATAGAGGAGCCAGGGTGTACCTTTGAATGAAATAAAAGACACTTGGTCATAGGTTGGTACACTATCTGTTCTCTAATCAGAACCTTGTTAAAATTATAAAGACAAATTTACATTTCTTGGCATGGTTAGGTAAGAAACTGGTGCACAATGAAATTTAGTTGTTAAAATTGTTTCATAGATTTTTGGCTGTTAAGAATAATGGGAATAGAAGGAAGGTTGACAAATAATATCAGTGTTGTAATTATGAAGGCATGTATTCTTTACAAGTCTGATATGACAATGCTGTAAAGCTCAGTCTTAATGCTCAGTTAATTCCTCATCTTTCCCAGTTTGTGCACTGTTCAAATGTATGGGCACAATGTCTTGATGGTCTGTTATATCTGTATGGTACCTACAGTTGTTTTTGAAAGTAAGGCAACATGTCCTGTTCACACTGCAATGAATTAGCTGCTGCCCTTCAGAGGTATTAGTTAACTTTTCTTTTTCCCCCCCTAAGATGTTAGTAAAACCATTTTTAATCTTACCAATAAACAATTTAAAAGAAAACAACTGGAAAGCCAGTTACAAACTCAGGGTTTTTTTACATTTCAAAATTGTTGTGATTTATGAATAATCAATTTCATGATCACTTTACAGTTGAATATCTGCAATTATTATAACATAATTAGAGTTGTAAAGATTAGTGGGATTATGCCACAGTTTCAGTTGCAGTGTGAACAAGGCAATGTCTTTCTTGTTCATACAAAATTCGGGAACTACTGTAACTGGCATCTCTGTACACAAACCTAACGGCTATTGTAAAGATACGTTTCTCTTCCTGTACCTGCAAAACATTGTAACTTTGGAAATAAATTTGGCTTGCATGTTCATCTGTAATCAGCAGTTTTCATTCTAACTACTAGTTATTCTTTTAATCGAACATTTAAATATTTCAAGATTGCTTTGAATGTACAGCATATGTTTTCACTCAAAAGTTTGAATCTCACTTGTGATATTAAACCATAAAGAGTAGATTAATAAGGTGCACATATCTTGGATGTTCACAATTTCAGAGAGACCTATTGTTTTCAGGGTACAAAGCAAAAACATTTTTTTGTACGGTGAGGGAGATGATCTTCATGGATGCTTTAAAATTTGAGATCGCTTAATATTGTTACATGATCTCTAATTTATATTGTGCTATGTATCTGTATATATCCATTTGAGAAGCACAATAGGGATGATTTTAAATTCCCAACATCCCTTCTCCAAAGGCTAAAACCCCATGATTTTAATTTGCCTGAATGCCAAACTGAAAGTCTGTCCACCACGGAAGTGCATTTAAACAGCAAAGTCCCATATTTCTGACATCATTGGGTTCCTGATTTTAACTATAGGCTGCTCAGTGTTGAGACCACCACCTAATAATGTTCATGAGTCTTTAGAAACAAAGTTTGTTTAATTTTTAAAGGCTCCTTGTGCATCAGGAAGAGCTAGAGTGCTGCTTTTGATCTAACCAGGACACCTTGGTCATCCACCTTACATCCTCGGGCATCTCTCAAATTCACCGGTAATGAATCCCCAGCCCCAAAATAAACCTTCCTTACTCTCAGGGACCAAATTCATGGGCTTTCAGCAGCCTCCTGAACCACCTGAGGAAAGAGTCAGTGTCAACAAATATTAATGATGTCCAAGAGTTAAAACCATTCAATCTGATTCAAGGGAATCAGATGTTTTGCTGTTCCAAAATGCCAAACAACCCACTGCAAATTGACATCAGGGTTTATATCTCTCTTCTAATCTCCAGCTTCTTCTCAAGCCCACATCTCTTGCAATCAAGAGGGTAGGAGAAAAAGCGCAGGCCGTTTTCAAAGATCCATTGGTGGTTACTTTGAATAATGTGTATGACTGTTGAAAATGATTTTAATTGTAACTTATTTTCGTATAAGGGAAATTACAGTTATAAGAATTATAAGGCTATAACAGGAGGGAATTTTAACTGACCAAGTATTAATTAGGATTACTTACACTGGCAAGGTAGGAAAGGAGCAAAATTAGGAGAACCTTTTTTTAGCCTGGATGCAGAAAACCCAATAAGGGAGGTTCTGGACCTAATATTCTGATGTGACGCTGGAAGTGTAACAAATATGAGTGGGGGAGCATTTTCGAGATGACCACCATAACTCAAATTGAAGATAGTTATGGAAAAGGACAGGCATAGAATAGGAAGAAAAGTTCTAAACTGGGGAAAAGATAATTTTGCTAAGATAAATGCAATTTGGCCCAAGTGGACTGAGAACAGAACAGTTGCTTCCATAAAAATCTGTCAGAGCAGTGGAAGACATTCAAGGAGGAAGTAGCCAGAGTACGGGGCAAATATGTTCCCATAAAGACAAAGGCTTGGATCAAGACTGGAGAAACCTTGATATTGAAGGACACAAAAGTTAAGACTAAGAAAAAAGAAGCTTCTGGCAGATACTGAGGGTTCAATATGGCAAAGTCCCTTAAAGAAAATAAAAAGTGCAGGGGGACCTTGAAAGCAAAATTAGGAAAGCTAAGACAGTTCATGAGAAAACATTGGAGGCTATAATAAAGTATAACCCAAATTTTTTTTTTAAAAACATTTCAAAAACAAAAAAAAAGCTAGGGAAAGTGTAGAACTTGTTAGAGACCATAGAGGTTGTCTGTGTGTGGACCATGAAGATGTGGGTACTGTCCTTGATGAATACTTTGCATCAGTCTTCATGATGTAAAATGACACAAGAGGAGTGTGAAATGTTAAAAGAAACTAACATAGAGATAGAAGAGATGCTTGTGGAGTTAGCAGTCTTAAAAGTGAATAAATGTAGACTACATTAAAATTAATATCCATTTGGAGAGGCATACATTAATTAAGGATAGCTTGGTTTTGTCGGGGGAGATCATGTCTAGCAATTCGATCGCATTTTCCAAAGAAGCCTACTAGGTGTGTAGATGAAAATAGTGCAGTTGATGTAATCTACATGGACTTCAGTAGGCTTTTGCATAGTAGGCTGGCTAAGCACCAATGGAATTTGCCAAGGGAAATTCGGCAAACTGGCTTAGTGGCAGAAGGCAAAGGATAATGGTAAAAGGGTGTTTTTGTGACTGGAAACCTATGTCCAGTGGCATACAACAGGGTTCAGTGCTGAGTCCCTTGCTGTGTGTAGCACACATTAATGATCTATACATGAATATAGGAGATATGTTCAAAAAATTCACAGATGACACAAAAATTGGTAGGATGGTAAATAGTGAGGAGGAAAGCCATAAATGGCTGGAGGAAAATGAATCAGAAAATCTGAGGTAATGCACTTGGGGAAGTCTTGCAAGGCAAGGGATTATGCTATGATTACTAAGACCCTGGGAAGTCTTGCAAATCAAAGGGACCTTGATGTATCCACAGATTCTTGAAGGTTGCAGGGCAGATAAGGTCTAGGATACCTGCCTTTATTGCCAAGACAGAGAATACAAGAGCAGGAGAGTTGCCCTGAAATTGTATAAAATACTGGTTAGACTACAACTGTGCTATATGCAGTTCCGGTCACCACAATATCAGAAGGATGTGATTGTACGAGAGCGGGTGCAAAGGAAATCTAACCAGATGCTGTCAAGGCCAAAGGATCTGAGTTATGAGGAAAGATTAGGTAGCTGGAGTTGTTCTCCTTGGAGCAGTGAAGGTTGAGGGGGACCTGATATGTATGTAAAAGATTATGAGAGGCATAGATAGGTGGATAGGAAGGCACTTTCTCCAGTAGTTTGATTGTCAAAAAGCAGTGACTGTAGATTTTTGGTAAGAGGTAGAAGGCTTAAGAGAAGAGCTGAGGAGTCTAGGATTCTCTGCCTGAAGAAATGGTTGAGTCAGAAATACTCATAACACCTAAGAACTAATTAGAAATTCACATGTTGCCATTGGATCTGGGGCTATGAGCTGGGAGCTTGAAAATGGATTTGTCATCAGATCTTTAACTGATTTGGATATGATGGACCAAATAGCCTCCTTTTGTAAATATCTACAGTAGATTAGAATAAGGTAGATACTATAGACTTTCTAATTGTTGAGGGGTCAAGAACAGGAGACCATAAGAACGAGTTGTAGTGACCAGACCCCAGGCTATGTTCCCTAATTTGTCATGGTTCCAAACAGGGCACCTGCATGTCCACAATTACTCTTACCAATTTTTCTCGATGCACCATAGAAAACATCCTATCTAGATCCATCACAGCTTGATATGGCAAATGTTGTCCCCAAGACTGCAAGAAATTACAGAGAATTGCAAATGCAGCCCAGTCTATCACAAAAATTAGACTTCCTTCCATTGACTCTGTCTACACTTCCCACCACCTCAGGAAAGCAGCCAACATAATCAAAGACCCCTCCCACCCCATTTATGCTCTCTCTCACCGTCTTCCAACAGGAAAAAGATACAAACGTTTAAAAACCCATACCAGCAGATTCAAGAAGAGCTTCTTCCCCACTGTTCTCGGACTTATGATCTTTCTCTGCACCATCTCTGTAGCTGTAACATTATAGTCTGCATTCTATTCTATTACCCCAATGTACTTATGCAAGGTACAATTTGTCTAGATAGCACACAGAACAATACTTTTCACTGCATCTCAGTACATGTTATAGAATAGTGTACTTGGTATTTTTTAGTGAGAATGCCAACACTGGGGTCATCTAGTTCGCTGTAAATTAATTTAATAGAAATGTATTTCTAATTAAATAGTTGCTGGAGTAAACCTGGCAGGCAGTGTGGTGCTATGCTTCTCCTAGTGATAAATCAGAGACAGTTTAAACATCCCTAACAATCACATCTGCAGGAAGTGTGTCCAATTGCAGCTCCTGTCAGACTGCATAGATCATTTGGAGCTGCAGCTGGCCACAGTTAGGAGCACGCAGGAAGTGTAAAGTGTCTTAGACAGGAGTTTTAGAGATGTGGTCACACCCAAGGTTCTGGCAGATAGATGAGTGAGCACTAGAAGGAGCAGGCAGGCAGTGCAGGAACCTCCTGTGGCTATTCCCTTCTCTAGGATGGGATACTGTTTGGATGCTGCTGTGGGGGATTGCCTATCAGGGAATGGTGACAGCAACAGCAAGAGTGGTGACACTAAGCTAGTGCTGTCGTACAGCAGGAGGGTCAAAGTGTAATTGTAATAGGTGACTCTATAGTCAGGGCCATAGGCATTTCTACAGCTGCAAAAGAGACACCAGGATAGTGTGTTTCCTCCCTGGTGCCAGGATCAAGGGTCCTTCTGAGCAGGCAGAGGGAGGGTAAACAGCCAGAGGTTGCTAATGACATTGGGTAGGAAGAGTGACAAAGTCCTGCAAAGGGAGTTCAGGGATTTAGGTAGGAAGTTGAAAAGCAGGACCTCTAGGGTTTTAATGTTGGGATTACTCCCAATGCTATGTGCCAATAAGGCTAGGAATAGGAAGGTAGTAGAGTTAAATATGTGGCTAAAGAGCTGGTGTAGGAGGGAGGGCTTTAGATATGTAGATGATTGGGATGTCTTCCTGGGCAGGAGAGACCTGTATAAGAAGAACAAGTTGCAGCTAAACTGGAGGAGCACCAATATCCTGGCAGACAAGTTTGTTAGTGTCAGCTGGGAGAGTTTAAACTAGTGTGTTGCAGGTGGTGGGGTTGTGGGAGGGTGTTGGTGGGAACCAGAGCAGAGCAGGTCAGCACGTGAAATGTCCAAGGAGGAGTCCGAGACTAAGGCCAGTAGGGCTAAGAGAAGGAATAGACAGGAGACGTTACTAAACAAGATGGGGCAGTCGGTCTGAAGTGTATTTGTTTTAACAAGTCGTATGACAAGTAAGGCAGATGAACTTAGAGCTTCAATTATTACATATAATTATGATGTTGTGGCCATTG